TAGAAAGGCTGCGTTCTGGGTGGAGAGTTTTCCTCAGGACGTATCTTGGAATGAAAGGCAAATCAGTGGTCTGATTGTACATCTGGCTGACTATATAACAACATTCTTGGGTGTTTTGCTGTATCTTTGTTGTGTTTGTACTCATAAAGAAAATACTTTGTGCCTTTCTTGGCATCCTGCCTTAGTGCAGCCTCTCAGCTACAGTGGAGCCGAGCATTCTGTATCCTCTTCCAGAATCCCTTCAGAAGTAACGTTTAGCAATGTCTTGTGAAAATAACTACAGTGATTGAAAATTCAGCTTTAGGTCAGTTGTTAAATGGCTGAGGTTTCCACGGCCCTTCCCAATAGAAGTGACTGAACCAGCCATGTTGGGCAGGAGAGCCACATTTTAGGGTTTGTGTTACGCTGACAGCTCCCATGTTTAATTTTAAGTAGGGAGCTAATCATCTGTCTGTCTTTCTGTTGCTAAGGCTGTATGTTTCTTTTAACAGATATTACATCCACTGCAGAGACTCATGCTGTTGCCTCTGGCTCTTCTGCTGCTGATATCAGTGAACTTCAAGGTCGCATTAAGGAGCTTTTGAACAAGCACAGCAGTGGTGTCTGGCTGTCAAAGTTGCCTCAGATCTATCGGGAAATTTACTGGGAGGACCTTAGCACAGAAGTGCTCCAACAGCTTGAGAACTGGCCTCATGTGTGCACAGTAAGTACTGAATGTCATTTTTGTGGAAGATGCTGGTACCCTACAGATACCTGAGTGTTCATTTGCCAAACGTTATTTTTTGTATGCCTGCATTTCCTTTCACAACCTACACCAGTAACAAAAAAAGGAAGAAGACCCCTACCACCCCTCCCCTGAAATCGTAACAATGCCTTTGAAACTCAGAAAATCACTGTTGACCGGACTAGTATTGTTGTGGAGAAGAAAGGTCAGCCTCTGTGGTCTCCTGGAGCAAGTGCTTGCGGTTGCTGAGTTGCCACCTTAATGACTGCAACACTGACAACCCAAGTACTAGATGTAAGATGTGCTCTCCATGCTGTATCTTTTGCTGTTGTTTTGTTGGTTTTTTTTTCTTACAGCTTTTTATGCTTTTCCTTGTTGTGGATTTGTCACCTCTTAAACCTATTAGCTACAAGTAACTCCTGTGTGAACAGTCTGAGGTCTATATGTAGTAAGCTTTCTGTATACTCTTCCACCGGTCTTTCTCACATCTTAAGCCAAGGTTGTGGAATTTTGCTGTGTAAGTTAGGTTTATGGTACAATAATATATGAAATTGAAGTGTGATAATGTTGGGGAGAGCTGGTATCAGGCTATCTCCACTTAGAGGTCTGCCAGGTCAGTTGACATCACCACTGGGTGGAAGGTCTTCAGCTGCTGTACTTTCATCTCTTATTCTGTGTTCATGGTTCATTTGTGGTGCCATACAACTTTGCATTAAGACTTTGTTTACTTTAACAGGCCATGTATATCAAAGAACACTTTCAACTTCTTCAATATCTGTCAAACTGTGGCACCAGAAGAGTATTGAAGTAATGAGAGGATTTGTCTGCTTGAAGTGACTTTTCATGTATATCCTGCAAAGTATTTTCTTGTGTAATGACTCTAAATGCAAAAAAATATAAATGTTTAACTGAGATTAAATAATTGCTCTTCAAGAATAACACCATTTGCATTCTCACACATATGTAAGATATGTTTGTCATACCTTACTACAGACACCAGCAATGTGTGCAGTCAGCAGCAGTTTGTTTTGATAGAAATTTCATTCCTGTGTTCTCCACAGAGCAAGCTCTTAGGTCTTGAGTTACTTAATTCATGCAGCGAATTTTAGTCTCTTTTGTTGCTAGTGTTCCAGACAGTCCTGTTCTTCCAGGATCTTTGCTCTGTGTTTGCTGGCCATTTGCTTGTTATCTCTTGGGTCTATCTCTTCTTTCTAGCAAGCAAATAAAGTCATTTTAGCAAAAATATGCAGTCATTAAATCTGCGCAAACATTGTAATGCAATGGGCACAGTACAACAGCAGTGAGAACTATCACATTATCTTGGCAGAGTCAGTCTTGTTGTAGAGAACTGTTAATGAGCCTGTAAAGCCCATCTTAGTTTACTGACTTGTGAAATCAGAGTCATGGCTCAGGCATGGAGAAATTTGAACTGGGGCTTCTCACATGAAGGCTACAATGCATCTCTTAATTATAATCACTCTTTATTCCTGGTTCAAATATGTTGTCTGCAGGTGTATAGCTCTGTAGAACCTTTGAAATGCCAGAGGACAGACTGTATGCTGCAGTATCAGTAAAGATGTTTGCATGACTAATTTCTGAATTATTTCTGCCTTGTTGGTTTCTTACACTGGGAGTGTCTGCCAGGCTCAGAACAGGAAAAAATGCCGGGTGTTTCAGTATCTTCTTAAAGAGACAGCACATACTCTTCTTGAATGCATGCTGATCAGTAGCAGCGCAGTTACAAACCAGCAGGCAACAACCCTAATATATTTGCAGCCTCTCCAAGCTGAGGACTTTGCTTTGGACAGTGTAAATTCTGAATAACTTGCACCCCTAAACTTCTGTTTGAAAGGAAGGATTTTTTTTCTAGGAAATTGTCATTTCTATGGTTAGGTTGCAACTATCAGTTAAGGCAATTTTTCCTATCTAATGATCTGAAGACTCAAAATGTCACTAAGTTGTAGGTTGATGATCTTGTTTTCAGTCTTCACCTTTCAGGCAAGAGGACCTTCTACAAGTTATTGAAGCTGACCTTGTTCTCCATTGGTCTGTTATCTCCCTTCTTTAGTTTAGCTTGCTTGAGCATCTTGCTTGTAGCAATATATTTTGCATGGCTAATTGCAAAAGCGCAAAGTAATTGCACAGTGGCTAGTGCTCAGAGATTATAGCCAAGCCTTGGTGAGCAATGGAGCTGAGAACAAATGTGTTCACCACCCTAATACAATCATAGAATCATCAAGGTTGAAAGACAGCTCTAAGATGATCAAATCCAACCTGCCACTCCGCTGTAACCTCTAAACCATATATTCCAGCACCAGATCCAGATGCATCCAGAACATTTTCAGGGATGGTGACTCTGCCACCTCCCTGGGCAGTCTGTTCCAATGCCTGACCACCCTAATAGTGATTTTTTTTCTAATATCTACTCTAAATCTCCTTTGTCTCAGCTTATGACCATTCTCTGTAGTCCTCAAATATATAGTCCTTAAATACACTTGTCTTCCTTTTTCACCCTAATACAATCATAGAATCATCAAGGTTGAAAGACAGCTCTAAGATGATCAAATCCAACCTGCCACTCCGCTGTAACCTCTAAACCCTAAACTGTATCTGCCAGCACCTGACCCAGACACCTCTTAAACACTTCTGTGGATGGTGATTCCACCACCACCCTGGGCAACCTGTTCCAGTGCCTGAACACCTTAACAACATGTAATAACCTAGCAGTCTTTGCTGTCCAGACAGGCCTCAGTCAGGAGAAGAGGAATCTGCCTCAACAGCTCTGTCAGTCAGATCCATGGTGAATTGTTTGCTTTCACCTCCAGCAAGACTAGTGCTTTGAAAAAAGTGATTACTGGCAGTGGCCCTTTCACCTTCATCTTTTTGTATCATAATCTTATACCTTTCTGTGTGACAAATTACTTTGTCAGGCATCTTTGAGCAGCTAGTGATGCCTATTTTAGACATTCTACCCCATCTCATTTCTCATCTTTCTACAATACTTTTTCTACAAGTCTTTCTCACAACTTAACAGTTTTCTTAGAATGCTGAGCCAAAGTCATATAGCTTTGCTGTGTTTGTGCTCAGCCTTGAATGCTTGGGCTGCAGGCAGCTGAACCTCTGAGGGAGAAAGAACATTGCTGCAGAGGTCTGAGAGGGGTGCAGACTTGTAAACAGAGAATTAATTTTTTTGTAAGTCACAAGTGAGCTAAAAAGTAATAATAAATTTATTTTTGGTACTGGCAACATGTCTGATGGTTCCCTTTGCAGTTCAAGTATAAACCCCCTTCCTGAGCAGTATGTATATTTGAAAGATTTTTTCCTTGCATGTGCTCAACTCTTCTCAGTTACTTGAACTCTGTGAGTGATCAGGAGATGATGATTCAGGTAGGGCAGTACAAGAGAGGGCTAAACACTTGCATCTTTTCTCAAAACATTTTCTTGAATTTCCAGAGTTCTTTCCCAAAAGCCTTTAGAGAATTAGGCAGTCCTAGGACATTAGGGAAAGTCCTTGCATAGATGTTTAGTTGGTTAAAAGGTTGGAAATGGAGAAAGGCTGAAATGGTTGACCTTCAGAAAGCAGGAAGTCATGGTGGGATTCTGCAGGGGCAACACCTGGACACATGCTTATCTGGACTGTAATAAGTGAGTTGGTAAAGGGTGCCAATGCAAGTTGAGCTAATAATACAGGGTTGTTCAGGGTTAGAAAGACCAGGCTCTCTGAGAAAGGGTGTAACTTCCTAATACCAGGTTGCTATCCCGTAAGATTTCAACTTAGACTTAACTACAGCAATGTACAGAAAGAACTCTGATTCTGTTTTAAAAATGTGGGGTTTTCTGTGTGGACTCTTAAGCTTGAGAAAAGAGATCTTGGTATTTATAATAGCTTCATGCAAATGTTGGCTCAGTGCAGAAAAATGCAAGTGATAAGTACTTGAAAATAAATATTAAATTAATACTTCAGTTGGAAGGAATCTATTAGTGATCAGTGAAGCCTGACCACTTCAGGAATGATCAAAGGTTAAAATATGTTATCAAGGGCATTGTCCAAATGCTTTTTGAATACTGACAGGCTTGGGACATCATCACCTCTCCAGGAAGCCTCTTCCAGTGTTTGACCACGCTCTTAATAAAGAAATGCTTCCCAACATCAAGTCTGAGACTCCCCTTACACAGTCCTTTTCTACTCACAAATAAGAAGTCCAGGAGGGCATCTTTCCTAGTTGACCCCCTGAGTACATATGACATTGAGTTATCTCCTACAAATTTCATGAATTTCCCAGGCTTGCTTCTCACAGCAGTATAGCATTCCCAGCTGATGTTTGGGAAGCTGAAATCTCTCATAAGGTCAAGGGCTTCCAATCCAGAGGTTTCTCCTAGTGACCTTTAGAGAAACTTACTGGTTGTATCACCCAAGCGGGGCATTCGGTAGCAGATTCCCACTACAACATCTTTTTTGTTCTCCTTTCCCCTAACTCAGAGTCCCTTAACCACATCATCACTAACTGTAAGGACTGTACAGTCAAAACTCTCATTTTTTTAACAGTGTAGCTCCTCCACATTGCCTGCCATGCCTATCCCTCCAAAGATGCATTTCACCCATCAGGACAGATGGATCCTGTCAGGCCTCATCACACCTTTTACCTCAGAAGTTTTTCCATATTTATAAAACCCGAAGTTTTGATGGATACACCAGTCCTGGAGCCATGTGTTTATGTCTTGGGCTCACTTGTTCCTTCCAGAGTCTCTCTCCATTACTGAGAGGGTTGAGGAGAATACTGTGCTCCTAAAGTTTTTAACATTCTTCCCAGGGCTCTGAAATCTCTTTTGATTGACCTTAAACTTTTTATTGCAACATCATTAGTACCCACGTGAAAGAGCAGGAGTGGATAAGAGTCCAAAGGCTGTACTAAGCAACTCAGTCGTCCAGTGACATCTCTGCTTTGGGCCCCAGGGAGTTAGCAAACTTCCCTGAAAAG